CTGTTTTTATCTGTCGTCCTCAGTTCATCTCTGCAGCTCAATAACTCCCCTCCTCCTCCTGCCCCCCGAGGGTTTGTTCAGCTCATTTCCCTCATGACTTGGCATCATCCACTGCCCGGCGGCGAAAATGTACCTTTTAACTCACTCCTTTCTTACTCCATTCATCTCCTTTTGAATCTTCACCTGCAGCCATTCCTGCCACGTCTCGTACAAACTCTTCTCTTTGGATTCTGTAGTTGTAACCTCACCTTACAGATTCCCTGCAGCTTCCTCCTGCATTCGTCAACTTTACCGATACATCACAGCGTTTGCTTCACGTGGTACCTAACTTAACCTCTGTTTCCTACTCACATAACGTCATCTGCATGTCATCAATAATAGACATCTCCCTCTGCAGCTTTAATGAGACTAAACTGTACTTCCACTAATTAGATTCTGAGACCTGAGTATGATTACTCACTTAGCTGAAAGTCTTTCCTTGTTATTAATGGGAGTCTTTCCAGTAAATGTTAGTTCCTTAAATCTCTGTAAGCTCATCATTTGAGGAAGTTCTGCATGATATTTGATATGTAGACCGAATTGACTCTTTATGGCATAAGTAGCAGCATGCAGAGTAAGCACTATTTGATACAGTTCATGTGATGTGTATGTTTTAAAGGTCACACACATTAGACAAAATACACTTCACCATGTTTCTCTAACACTAATATGTGTCTCTAGTCCGTCTACAAACCCCCCAGTTCCGAGAAAAGTCCATCTTCTCCATCTTTTGCCTGCTCCACTTTTCAGAAAATGTGTGCTCAAACAGGCCGTTTGGAGATGTTCCCTTCATGACATCACAAAGGGCAGTAGCCCCTCCCCCAGGTGGGTGACACTCCCACAGCTAGGTGTTTGTTCTGCCCTCTGAGTCTGCCTTGTCACCGTAAACAGTAGGGAATGGAGAGAGAAAGCCCGAGCCACTCAAGCCCTTCCAGAGAGGGGGCGTGGTCAGACACAGCTCATTTACATATTTAAAGGTACAGACACAGAAACAGCCTGTTCTGAGCAGGGCTGAAATAGAGGGGTTTATAGATATGATCAAATACAGGATCAGAGAGGATTTAGAACAAGAAACTTCACAGACATGTTCTGAGGAGCTCTGAGACTTATTTGCACTGAAGAAGAGGAGGAGAATATGTTACCTTTAAGGCGGTCAACAAAGCGGTTTAGCTTTAGCAGAACATCGGCCTTTAGAGGGAAACAAACTAACTTTGTGTTTGTAGATACCTCAAAGAGTTGACTTAAATATTTCAGATTTAGATTTTGTTGGGATAAGTGCGTGTGGTTCGGGTTGATTTATTGAAAAGTTAATGATTTTTATGATGTTGCAGGTTCCCATTAGAATGCAAATGACTTGAGTCCACAGCTGTCTTAATTCTTCATCAGGAACCACTGCTGTTGGTTTATGGCGGAGATTGGAATAGCTAGGACATAATAATCTAGCCTGGGCAGACTCCATAATAACAGAATTACAAGCTATTCATGTATTATGCACTATGGGTGTCCATCAACTGGTCCAATCATCTCTGCGGAACAATGGAACAATGGACTGAGAGCTGCAGCTATAGCAGCGATAACACAGAGGTCATTTCCAAGAACTAACAACGGCTTGTTTTACACACAAAGTGAACATGGGGGCGTGTTCAGGACGATTCTGATATTTTTTAAGACTACAATTCTTTACATTCAACCACATTTGGACAATGAATATCCACATATTCTGATGAACTCAGAAAACAGTTGCTAGTTGACTAAAATGTAATTCCAGTCCAGTAGCTTGTCCTTGTGAGTCGAGGGGAGATGGAGGTGAACACAAAGACTATTCTGATTTTGAGCTTTTCCTCGTTGATATAAAACCTGTCATATCATATCTAAGCGTGTTATTTGTTTATCCTAATAAACTACTAATGATTAAATGAAGGTGTTTCTTGCACTGAAGCTTGATTTGCGATGGGAAAGGTTGGACTGCGGGGTATCTGGAAGTGGGAGCCAGCCTGTGAGCTGTGACTCGACACAGATGGAGCAAACTGTGAGCCTGAATCCTCAGGAAGACGTTCTACAGCGTGGATTGTAAACAGAATCCACTTCGATTAGGCACAGATTTGGTTCTAATATGTCAATATAAAACATTATTGTACGTGGTGAATCAATTCTAGTGAAGACAATTGTGTGGTTTAGGTGCAAAGCTCTGCAAGATATGCTGCTGGTCCCCTCTAGAGTCGCAAAAATTAGATATGAGATTCATCCAAAGCATTGTTTTTTGCATATGCACCGTAAAATAATTTTCATATGGGTCTATATTTTGACTAATAGATCCATCGGCTCTAGTCAGAGATTCTTGGTATTTATATATTCTCTATTCTCTCTACTCTATTAGCTACTGATGAAGCTTTGTGATTATATGTTTCAGCCTTCTGCTTTATGTGTGTCTATTTAAAAGGTGATGAAACTTTTAATCTTCTTTGTCTGGAAAGTCAACATCCCTCTGTGGTTTATCACCAGTAACAGAGACAAACTGCAAAACAGTGCTGCTATTTCTGCTAAACAGGTGACAGCGATGTTCAGGCTCTGCGCTCATGATGCCGGAAAAAAAACGAACTTTCCAACACACTTTGATGCAGTTATTGTGACGCGGCCATGTTGACTCACATCAGGGGGGTGGGGGGAGGGGGGGGAGACGCACATCATGAGTCACATCATCAACACATCTGCGATTAGTTGCTGCCAAGGCAAACAGAAATCCAGGATATGAAACCTGAAGATTTCCTCACACATAACCTGAAAACCTCCGATATCGATCTTTCATTAAGTTGGAATCTGAAAAACGACTGACGATGCCTGACGAGTCCGTATTGTTTTGTTTTTAAATCAAACAACCTCACATCATAGAAATGTGCGGGAGCGTGCATAAAAGCACATGATGCCACATGCATATGGAATCAGGAGTTTCTCTGTTTTATCTTTGATGTCATGGAGTTATTCTTATCTTTCTGTGTTTCTCTTTGTACTGAAAGAAATGTGAAATATTTCCAGAAGAATGCAGCTCAGGTACAGGTTGAGGCCGCACCGGTAAATCTCTTTTGGCGTTTTCTCTCGTGGTTCCGTTCTGCACCATTGTGCACGCTGCAGCTGTTTATAACGTATGACACGAGCAATATGATAAGCCGAGAAGAACATAATTCATCACGGCAGCCGACTATTTATACTCCACTTCGGCTGACGCATGACAATGAAAAGAGGGTGTGCATTGCTCCTCTAAGACAAACACCTTTAAGTCACTTCTATTGGCTGTTTGATGCACTGATTCAGGAGGCCGTCGCGTGGACAAACAAGAGGAGCAAACGTTTTGCTTTCTTCTGCCATCAGAAGCTGTGGCGTGAGGAGACAGCGTCTGCTTTGTTCATAACAAAGGCTACATTTAGAGTAGAGTGACGAGGCAGACAAGAAGCTAGGAGATTAAAGTCAACAGAAATCAGACTTTAAAGTAGTATATATAAATGAAGAGTCCTGAGTCCTTAGTGTTTAAACAGCGTTAGATGAAACATGATGGCACAAGAAGGAAGGCCTGTAGAGATTTCATTATATTTTACATCTTCTAAATTGTCTCTTTGCTGCTATCACAAGTTAATTTATCTTATTGGTGAATAAAAAGTTGATCTGATCTTATTCCAAAAATAGTTTTTATCTTCAATATTTGACTGTCTACTCGTCCAGAGTAGGCTGTGAATATCTTAAGGAGATCCGGCTGAAAATAGTTGATTTTTAGTGGAAAGGAGAAACTGAGGGTTTGAAGGAACCAGCTGAACCTGTCCAAATAAGTCAAAAAGACAATGATGCATATCCTAATGTATCTTTTTTTTTTTGTCATTTCAGGGAAAAAAATGTCCCCTCTCAATGCAAATAAGCCTCATTGCAGAAATCATCAAATTCACAAACGCAGGAGCTAATGAGTCACTGAAAGTTGGTGGTAACTGCGCTTCAGAACACACAAACTTTTCAGTGATCGGCTCACAAATTCCACCTCTGCATGACCTGCAATAACTCACATGAATATACAGGAGTCTGTGAATATCTCAGTAAACAGGCATTTCTGGGTCTTTCATCTGATCAACTACACACACTGATCTATCTGAACCACCAGCCTGTCGCTTCCCAGCTAATTAATCACCACGGTAACAACAGCCTCAGCGCTCTTTTTTATAAATCATGCTCCCTGAACAGACCATTACTTCAGAGGTTATATCAGTTCACAGCTGGTTGCCCCCGTCGACTTGGCAGATACAAACGTCACACATATGTGTGAAGATGGTCTGGAGCTGTTACACACGGACAAAGACGATGCTGCTCTTTTTTTCTGTGACCTTCTCCTGGGTAGAAGTTTGATTCTAATGGTGAAACTCATATCACAATTTCGGAGTCTGGCCCTTACTATAAACTGAAAAAGGTGTCCGCTAGCCCCCCCCCAGCTCATTATCTACTGGTGGACAAAATTGAGCTCCATCAGCATGTGGACGCACCCCCAAACAGAGGAGTGGAGGTGTAGACAGCTTCTCTCCACGCCTTAGCCCTGGAATATCATTAACCTTCTCTGCTCCATCTCAGACTTTGAGACGGAGCAGATAGATGTGCGATTTTTTGTGCTATTAGTGGCACAATCCATTCTGAGTGAACCCCCCCCCCCCCCCCCCAGAATGTATGAATGCTTTGTTTGTGCTTTTACTCAGGGAGAACTTGCCTGTAGTTTTTAAGCCAACACTTGGCACCTAGACAAAACACAATCACATCATCTAGGACAAAAAAGGCTGACCTTTGCATGAGGCAATCATGACTTAAAAATGAGATTAAAGGTTTTTTTCTCCTCTGTGCCAAAGACCCCAGTTTGTGCCAAAGACCCCAGTTTGCTGCAGAGCAGTTTGTAGACCACACAAGAACATAGAGAGTGTTTCCAGTGTGTTACATACAGAATCTGAAGGGCGGAGATCTTGTCTTTGAGCACTTCTTGGGCTTTGTTGAAGTCTGACAGCATGTTCTGCGTCTCTCTGCTGTGAACGGCGTTCATCTCGGCAAGCTCCCTCTCGTGCCTCTTCAACAGCTCTTGTTCATGAGCCCTGAGGAGACAGAAAAGTGGACAGTTTAGTTTGAGACAGGAGATTGACACAAGAGTCTGCTGGTTCCTGATTGGCTGGCAGGCGTCTGTTTAAAACATTCGACAGGACGCCTTAAACATGATTCTGGTTCAACCTTACTGCAAGCTAGCCATGCTGCAGACAATTTAACCCAAAAAATGACCCATCACTTGAGCCAACTTCTCTAGTTATAAAGAGATTACACAATCTGAAGGGTCCTGATAAATGAATAATTAACAATTAGAGACAAGGCTTTATTTACTGAGAGCTTTCTTTTGCACAACATGTCATGTATGATATTAAGGAAATTGCAATTTGAGCTTAAAAACAGGGAGACAAAATGTTGTCAAAGTTTTTCATACTTTGGTTATTTGTAGTACCACATGTTCTGTAAACGATACAACAACAAAGGAGTTAAAAAAAAACACTGACATTTCTGAAGTCCCATTATAACAGTGCAAAGTTATATTTTATGTTTCTTACAAACACAAAGAGACGAGAGCAGGTGACACTGTCCACAACTTCACAAATACAAATAGCATTTGGTACCGAAATGTTCCCAATGCAATTTGTGCAATTTAGACAATGTGCAAGAGTTTGAAATGACCCAATATTTAGCACTTAGAACTTTGTTGCAATGGCATCCACAAAGGCATCAATATTGTTGGGAGTTTTTACTAAAGATTAGGATCAAAGTTTAGATTTCTTACATCATAAGAACCCTACTATAGTACCCAGAGGCAACTGCTTGGGGCCCCAGACTAGTAAGGGGCCCCTGAGGGCTCAACAAACTTAAAGCAAAGCAAAATTTACAGATTTTGTAAATGTAAACCTCCCTAAGGGGGCCCCACCTTACAGCACTCACTTTTGTGTTACAATGAATGTAAAAAAAATAAAAATGAATAATCCGTCAATAAGAGAGAAAAAGAAACAAGAGCAAAAGAGGAGTTAGCATCAGGACACTTGTAGACAAAATGGTGATGAACACTGGACCCTCCATACTCTAGAATCACCCCAGAGAGTACCATACTTTAGTAAATGTACTTGTCTACTTTTAACGACGGACACTTGGAGACAAGGCTTTGCAGGCAGGAGCAACATGAAATTGTATTTATTTATCTTTTAATTGAGTGGCATTTCCCTTTAAGCCTTAATCAGGACCTGCAGACTCTCCTGTGCTGACGGTCTCCCCCAGGAGAGAGCGAACATAATGGATTATTCCACAGAGGACACAGTGGAGAGATTAGAAAAAGGGAGACGGATGCAAAGACTGAAACTCGTAGAACATAATTACCTGGAAAACGCACTGCGAGTGAAATATTGTAGATGTATGACTTCTGAGTTTGTCTCAACATGAGCAGAGCACATCAGACGAAATGAAAAGTACTTAATCTGAAATGCATGTCTAATGGATGTACATGTTATGGAAAAGAGTTTAATTAATTCTTCTTATCAAATATGTTCACTGTGCAAATGCAGAGGGGGTTTTTAGACGGGAGCTGAAATAAGTCGGAGATGAGGGAAAATGGAGAAAAGAGATGATAATTAAAGGAGGAGGAGTCGAGGGCTGATGAAAGGGATGTGAGGGTGAGATGGAGTAGAAACATGGATGTATGTCTGCCTCTCCCTCTGACTGGGCCAACTCCCCCCGAGGGGCGCACATCTTATCTCTCTCTCTCTCTGCTTCCTCTTTATTTATTTATCAGTCTATTTTTAGCCCTGTGACCAGGATTCAGACGAGGAGGGGGGTTACGTAAGAGAAGAAGAAATGTGCTGCGCATGGGCCTGCTAGAGAAAGAGTGAGAGAGAGAGAGAGAGAGAGAGAGAGAGAGAGAGAGAGAAGAGAGAGAGAGAGAGAGAGAGAGAGAGAGAGAGAGAGAGAGAGAGGATGTACATACAAAAAGTCTAGCAGTGAATTAACGATAGAGAATAAGGCATCATGGGAGAAGACGTCAAACATACACACATGAAGGACCTTAAAAGGCAGATAGACACATGAAGCCATGGCTACAGATTGGACCTCATGAGAAGATGGACTACATTAGCTTTAAAGAAAATCATCCAATATGCTGCAGGGAGCGACATGATTATAGATTCCATTTCTACTTTTACCCCAAATAACCTTCATGTCTCCTAATCAATGAGCTCCTGACAGTGGAAGAGAGAGAGAGAGAGAGAGAGAGGAGAGAGAGAGAGAGGAGAGAGAGAGAGAGAGACAGAGAAATGAGAAAGACAGAGAGAGAGAGAGAAATGAGAAAGACAGAGAGAGAGAGAGAGAGAGAGGAGAGAGAGAGGAGAGGAGAGAGAGAGAGAGAGAGAGAGAGAGAGAGAGAGGAGAGGAGAGAGAGAGAGAGAGAGAGAGGAGAGAGAGAGAGAGAGGAGAGGAGAGAGAGAGAGAGAGAGAGAGAGAGAGAGAGAGAAATGAGAAAGACAGAGAGAGAGAGAGAGAGAGAAATGAGAAAGACAGAGAGAGAGAGAGAGAGAGAGAGAGAGAGAGAGAGAGGGAGAGAGAGAAATGAGAAAGACAGAGAGAGAGAGAGAGAGAGAGGGAGAGAGAGAAATGAGAAAGACAGAGAGAGAGAGAGAGAGAGAGAGACAGAGAGAGAGAGAGGGAGACTGATAGGCCTCGTTTGGTCTTTCTTCCTCTTTCATCTCGGTGTGTTTCCACCCGGACCGGAGCAGCCAGAGTACGATTGCAGAAACTATCGTCATCCAAAAATCTAAAAGGAGAACTCAGCTACATGCACAGATAACCGGGGTCACCGTGATTAGAAGGGTTTAGTGAGGCTATTTTCTTTTTGTGTGTTTGATTTTTGAAAAACAGGGTATGATTGTGAAGCGATCGTTAATAATGTTTTTGTTGCTCGGTGTTTGAACCGATGTGAACGCCACATGTGAGTGCTTTAAGTTTTGTTCACTCCTCTCAACGTGCTCATGATCTTATATATATCCTACACACAAACATAGAGCATATAGCGGTCCCTGAAGTCCTCTTTGTGATCCATGTAACCACAAAACAAAGACAACATAGATCCAAAGTCCTGAAGGGAACTAACCTTAGTGCTGTCTTCAATAAAACATCCACATGTAACTGAGAAAGTTTGCAACAACAGCTTTTCATATTTCAAACATCTGACTATAGGGGGATGTGCAAAACGTCCTCTTTGTAACATCACACACACACACACACACACACACACACACACACACACACACACACACACACACCACACACACACACACACACACACACACACACACACACACACACACACACACACACACACACACACACACACACACACACTGCAGTGCATTATCCTCCTATCCTATTCCCCTGCTTGTCATTATGCAATAATTACATTTCTACAACTGCAATATGTTTTTTCTACTCCTGCAATGTGTTCTTCTGGTGCAGGATACATTATTTAATGTGCAAAATACATTATTTACCATTCAATATGCATTTTTTACTTTGCAGTATAAAGTATCTACAGTGCAATATACATCTCATTCTATGCAGTATATATCATCCATTGTATAATATGGATTCAAGATTCAAAAAACGTTTTTATATATCACAAAGTGAGAGAAAATTAGCTTTGGTTAGAGGCTCAAACATCATAAAAACATTCCCCTCCATTAGACATCCCAAACATTCAGCTAATGATCAGGACTTTTGTCTCCTTACACAGGAAGTCCCTTCAAACAAAGAAAAATGCTTTAAAAAGTCAGTAGAAAAGTGTTATTGGACTTTACATCAAATCATTTGAGCTCCCAGAAATCATCAAAATCTGAATCTTTCATTTTCTGCCCTGTATTGTTTTTTCTTTCCGCTCTGCTCTGAGCGCTGAGTCATACCTGATCTGCTGATTGGCTTCGCTGCGGATCTTGAGCACCTCTTTGCCCTTGAGCTCCAGCTCTTTAGTCAGAGTGCTGATGTTCTCGTTGAGCGTGTGGATCTGGTGGTCCAGCTGGGCGATGTGGTTCTTCCTCCTGGACACCTCCTCCTGCAGCTCGGTGATCCGGCCCAACAGATCTCGCTCCTAAGAGAAAGTGTTAAAGCAGAGTTTTAGATTCCCACAGAGTTGTTCATTCACTGAGGATGTCAGGTCTTTAAAAACAGGGAAACTCCTACTTCCCTATACAGACTTAAAGATCAGGCAGGGTGATAAAATGATAGTGCCCGACAATCAGCCAATCACACAGCAGATAAAGTGATGAGAACCAATCAGTCTTTGTCTGAGACTGTTTAATATCTCTGCTGCTAGAAGAAGTAAACTTCTCTTATCGGTGTATCTAACAACCTGAATCAACACCTTAGAGAGACTTGATTCAGCTCACCTCGAACCATTTACTGTCAAACCTTTGAGTCAAAAGCTCGTCAATAAAAAAGCACCACACTTCAGTTTGTCCACCTTCATTACTAAAGCTCCACATGACACACTGATTGCAATGGGGAACAGAAGTAAATATTTACTGGATGCTGTGTGGACAGAGCGAGCGTACGATGTGTGATGCAATACGATATCTAACACATCTATCACTGCCCAATCTGCTGCTCCCAACTGGACATACATTTTTTTTTAATTTTGGTCATATGACTGAACACACTGACACAGTGAGAGCAGAAACGAGCCAATTCCCCGACTCCTGAATATGCTTTCACAAACTGTCAGGCAGCACCTGAGAGCACCATGGCAACAGCCGCTGTGCCTGTTTGACTGGTTATTTGTGGTGATTGGACAGTGTTGTGTGTTTTTCCTTGTCTGCTCTTGGTTTGGTGCTTGTGTTTTTTTTCTTTCAGAGGCTGGGCGTGGCTTATTGGCTGCTGGAGCTCTCTGCAATCACTCAACTGTTTGTCATCTATAATCACCGGCTGCAGCATTTAGACCCTGGGTCAGCTCTCCCAAGCTGCCAGATTATTTCCGCCTACACCGAGGTAGATCGGCTTTTCAAGTATCAGTAGACTTTTTTGTGCTTTGGATTACCTGTCGCTAATTATTCCCTCGTCTTCTTTTTCCCCCAGTGCCTCCAACCTACGAGCTCAAGCGCCTCACCACCCAGCCTCTCATTCCAGCCTCACCAGCCTCCCTTCAATAAATACCCCTTTACCCACCACTCTGTTTTCCAGTTTTACTTTTGGGTCCACTTAAAAACCTTTTAAGATCATAACAGTTATTATTGGTGATGCTGTGTGTGTGTGTGTGTGTGTGTGTGTGTGTGTGTGTGTGTGTGTGTGTTTTTGTCTCTGTTTGACTTTGATCGACACCAAACTGCTCTGATCTGACTTCAGTCTCTACCTGTGGGCGTTTACAAAGGACACTTTGGCCCTGGCCTGATTTCTGATTTTACTGGTACAGTGTGAGCAACATTAATCGTGAGCTTTGAGTCGTGCAGCGGAAACGATTTAGTCGTACAGAGTGAGCTGACAATCTGCCGCGACTTTTATACAATCATACAGTGTACACCTTTTTACTTTAGGAGGTTTAAAAATGAAATGAGATTAAAAATCTAGTTAAACACTGACACATTACAGTAAAGCTAAAATTAGAAAGTTACTGGTGGTGGCATATAATAACTATGATACATTTAGAATACTTCTCAAGTAACCAAGATGGACGAGTGCAAGTCCAATGTTTGTTACTAATAACGTCTCCATATTTCATGCTGTATCGAGAAATGTAATGTATAAATTTATGTGTTGATTAATTGATTCAGAAAATATAATCATAATGTCTCTGACTCTACTGGTTCAAATGTCTCTTTGAATGAATGACAAACTGTGAACTGAAGTGATTTGATCCCTGTGTTGATGTTCTGTATTTTTATTTCTTGTGCTTATTTATAATGATATGGACCCCTCTGAAATAAAGTATATTAATAAACATATTGATATAGATCAATAAAGACCAACATCTGATGATAGTATGTTGCCGAACTTTATGTATAAAACTCTATAAAACTTTCCTAAATGATGATGAAATGATGTTTCTTTGTGAGTGTTGAAATGTTTCTCATCAACAGCACAAACTCCACCGTCATGAGGTGATTAATGTACACTGAGTCAAAGCTCCACACCAGCCGGTAAGAGCTGTTAGTTAATGTGAATGTTAATGAATGGAGTGATAATGAAAAGTGATGCTCATTACCATTCAGTGTCCAACAGTGACTTTTAATCATAAATACCCCCCGGGTGGACTGAGTGAGCCGTGGCGTTGCTTTATGAATCACGTTGTGTATTGTACTTGACTTTAACACTTAAGGGGCCACTTTAGACACGGCTTCAATCGAATTAGAGACCCGCAGGTGTGTCCTTCAGTCGACAAGTCGAGATGCAATTTACATTCAAGTCACTCTGAAAAACACAAGTCGAGAAGACTTTAGAGCTGTTCTATCAAAGGTGCTTCGGTTTAATTATAACGACGCCCAAGATGTTGAAAAGCATTAATACTTGAAGGCCACTAAGTTCTTATCAGTTTAAACTCCAATCAGATGTAGCTGACGAGCATTTGTTTAAAATTATTTTAGAAATTTGTGTTACATTTTGTAAAAACTAGTGTATGGATGCAGATTTATGGCAAAAACCAAATGTCTACGGTGACGTCGTCCAATCAGTATTCATTTGAGTCCAAGTGGATTTGGGACAAAAGACAGAGGAAGAAGAAACTCCTTCAAAGAGTGTGTCATGATTTATTTTCATTTAAGCTGAATGGACCGACAGACACATTCCCCAATGACCTTTGACAACATAGCTGTCGTCTGCCAAGACTATGACTGCCCAGCGGCTACAGATGGAAATTAGCTAGTTAGCTAAATCTGGTACGAAGCATCTTTTCTCTTCTGAGAGTCATCTTCTTTTCTACATTGTCCCTGATTCAAATAAACTAATAAACTAAACTAAAGCGAGGCACACGTACAATATACATGTTTTAACGGTTCCCAAACCTCTCTAACATTTATCAATGAAAGGGTTAACCTTCATCAACCTTGCCTTATTTTGACAAGAACAGGGCAATTATACTAATTAAATAAAAAGAGGTGGTTTTGAAGTTTTGCTCTGGATGAGATGCAACCTGCTGAACATCACAGGACAAGAATAAACTCTAATTTAAAAAACGCTCATGAATAATCATAGTTCCACAACTGAGTGAATGACGTCCATTGAAACAATGTTGAGATGAGTCATGACGCCGTGCAGAGCTGCTCTTCTGTTCTACACTCCATAATAACAGACGAGCGGGCTTATGTTAGTGATGATTACAAGGTGTGAAAATGAACAATTAGAGTGCGAGAGAACAACGCGTCGGTTCAATCAACAAACACTCTGAAGACATCAAATGCAACCTGCCTGACTTTCTTTCATTCTTTGACTTTATTTTCATTAGATGTGGATGTTGACGTCGCTGTTTAGGTTTTTATATCTTTAAAAAAAATGTTTAAAGATATTTTTTAGGCCAGTTTTGCCTTTATTGGATAGGACAGCTGAAGAGAGACAGGAACAATGGGAGGAGAGAGAGGGGGATGACAAGCAGCAAAGGGCAGAGCTATGCTATCTGGTACCCCTGAATTATTTTCTTATTTAGTCATTTATCTACTTTAATTTTTTTTAACATATTTGAAATAAAGATATCTATCAACTTTCATCCAGAGGTGCTGCTTGTCAACAGGCAAGGCAGGGAACTGCTTGGGGCTCCAGACCAGTAGGGGGCCCCTGAATGCTGACAAACTTGAACCACAGTAGCGCCCCAACGTGTGCAAACTTTACAATGACAGTAGGAAACCTCCCTAAGGTGGCCCCATCTGACAGCACTCACTCGCGTGGCCCTGCTTAGCGTTGCATGAATTATTGCTGTGAAAACCAAAGTCTGTCAATAAAAGTCAACAAAGAAAAATTAAAGGGAATTATCCGTCTATATGAGAGAAAACATATACAGGACGAAATAGAAGGAGGACTAAACGTCAGGACACTGGCAGACATGATGGTGACAAACACTGGTTTGAGGGCCCCCCAATTGATTTTTGCCAAGGACCCCAATAAACTCTATACTCGCCGCTGTTTTCAACTTCTTTTTAAAAATGGCAGTAAATGAATCTATAAAAATGGGAATCATTGGTGTGATTTGAAATGAATAAAAATGAGTATCCAGTCATCAACATGCAAAATAAACAAGTTCAGTGTTAAAAAATAAAATCCTGCTGGGAAGCGGAGCGAGCTCCGTTTGCCAAATCACTGCCACGCTCATGACGGTCAGAGAATTGGATTTAGAGGGAGATTAAGACACAGATGTGATCTAAAGTCTCACACTAGAGGGCCACTTAACACCATCAGAATGTAATTACATTAAATTGTGGTAAGTTTATGTCCACTTCTGCAAAAGAATCTCAACCACCTGCCTCGTTAACAATTTACGGGCTTCATTTATGAGTCCAAAAGCCATAATAACGACATTTTCTAATGGCCTCATATAGCCTCTCACTGTCTGTCTCTGAGTCTCCCTCAACATTCACTTTTATGTTATTGGCTGAATTATGTGGTCAATATACTTTGTGGCAACAATTATGCACAACGGGGACGAGGTAGATTAATCTTTAATAACACATTTACTCATTCAGATCTACTAGACTGTCAGGATCCTGGCTGTAATCCGAGGGGGGAGGACGCAGAAAAAAACAGGCCAACAAGAATGAGACGAAAAGCTGGAAGAATGAAAGAAACCAACAAAGAATAAAGAAGATAAACTAAAATTGGTTTCCTCTAAGTGCATTCGAGGCAATTTTGAAGATAATGTATTGAATGGGACTACTTTTTCCAAGGTCTAATCTAATCACCTTACAGCAGATATCTCTGTGTGATGCTCATGAGAGACGACAGGTGAGATAAAACTGCTGGTGTTGGCTGCAGGCTGGTTTTAGGCCACTGAGCTAATGGTGTGTCTGTCACTTTCTCCTATTTCTTTCAACATGTACTCTCTTGTAATCTCACTTTCGCCCCTCCTCTCCAAACAACAGGGCTGAAAGAGTAAAAAAAAAGAACCATGAAGGA